ACGGCAGTAACCCCTCCGGCGGCACTTGCTCGTTCACTGGCTAAAACATCCCATCTGGCTTGTTCGGCACCCGCCTTCTCTGGTCAAGTCTGGGACAGTGCCGCAACTGCGGTGGCTGCGTCAAGGTCACTGGACCCAACGGGGACTCCATCACGGCCATGGTGAGTTTTCTTGGCTTCCCCCTCTTTGTTCCTCATTGCTCTCAACAAGAAAGGACGGCGCTGCTGACACGAGCAACAGATTGTCGACCAGTGCCCCGAGTGCAACGAGGGACACCTCGACCTATTCCAGAACGCGTTTGAGAAGATCGGTACCCTGTCAGAGGGCATCATCTCGACCTCATACGAGTTTGTGGACTGCGGTATCTCGTCGCCTATTGTTCTGAAGAACAAGTCTGGCACGTCGCCTTTCTGGTTCTCGATGCAGGTCGTCAACGCTACTGAGCGCGTAGCCAAGCTGGAGGTCAGCACCGACGGCGGCAGCACCTGGCAGTCGACGCAGAGGAAGGACTACAACTTCTTCGAGCAGCCCAGCGGATTCGGAACACCGTCTGTCGACGTGCGGGTCACGAGTGTGTCGGGCAAGGTCGTCGTCGTGAGGAATGTGCCGGTCGCTTCCGATGAACATGCGACGGCCTCGTCCAACTTTTAGGAGAAACAGTTGGTGTATTAGCTTTGAGCTCCCATGGGGGAGTATGACGGATCTTCATTTCTTGTCAGGGCACGCCCTTGCGGCCCTCATGTTTCATTGCCAGGGGGTTTGTGGAGGTATCTTGAGAAGTCGCGTTTGCGCCCAGTTGGTTGACCAGCTTCAGAGTGGCCTCGCGATTTGATCAACAGAATCATGAGTTAGCCAGGTGCAATTGCCAATGCTGCATTCAGCCTGTATTCTCGTGGCAAATGCTTGCCTCGTCCGTGACAATGGTGATTGTTTGATCGACATGTCTGTCATAAGCGTGGGCTCCATGGTGCCTATTCGCTTTGTTTGGGCTGCAAAACCGGGAGGGAAGTGGCGGGCAGCGACGCGTTGTGAGACTCGTGCGACACGGGCGTCAATGAGCTGCTATTCGGCCAAACCTCGTCGAGACAGAATCTGTGCAGTAAGCAGAAAGTTCATGGATATGGTAGGGAGAATTGGTGGCTGTGCATCGTGCCAGTGACAGATACGTGCGTGTCTTGTCTCGGTCCAGTTCTGACGAGGAGCGAATGCATGAAAAAGTTTGCATCCACGTCCTGCCGTCGACATCATCGCAGAGGCCGACGTGGCGGACGGCATGCCAGCGATTCTGGATGTCCGGGCATGATGTTGGAATTCACGGAATGATGTGCAGGTTTCGGGCCCAGATCGACAAAGTGCTGCCAAGTTTCGTCGTCAGCGGAAACCCCACAGGCCACAGGGTGACATTGATGGAAGGCGAATCCAGGGCAGATGCCATTGGGGGCACCGAGGGCAGTGAGCAGACAAGGGGCCGAAGAAGCAGAGTCAAGGTTCGGCCGCTGTCGTGGCTGGCCCGATCGGTTCTCGAACAGGGGACGATGCGCTGCAAGGATGGGCCACAGGCGACATGTGATTCGATGGTCCTCGGGCGGAGGGGAAAAGGACAATACGGAGGGAGCCGACTGATCACAGTGGTACGTGAACTCAATGCCGAGAGAGGTTGTACGGATTGCCGGATTAATTGTGTGTCGAGACAGACGGCTGGAGAGGGCCAGAAATGAGGTGGGAAATTGCATGGTGTACCCATTTCCTACTCACCAAGAAAGCCTAGGTAATAAGGTAGGTAGGTACCTAGGTAGGTAGGTAGGTAGGTAGGCAAGGCAGGTACAGCTAAAGCTTCGAGGGCACCTGAAGCTTCTTGAGTGACAGGACCAGCTGAGGCAGTAGATGCTGAGTCGACGGAGGATGCGTGACTTCAGTGACCTCAATGACTACACTGACTGGCTGGGTACAGGTAGGTACCCACCACCGACCAGACACTGCCCGTCGTAGCGGGCCCGGCCACCCCATGTTCGGTGGCAGCGTTAGCGCGAGAGATGCCTTGGAGCCAGGGTCTCTCCCCGCTAGGTACCTACGTTGCGCTAACCGCAAAACTGCCAAGTGGACAGGACGGAAAGACGACCGGCCATTCCTTGCCTGTCGAGCTGAACCCATTACGTCGTTATCCGTCCTCTCGTGCCAAGACAGCAGCCCCCCAGCGAGGAAGCAGTGGGAGCTCCAGACAGCTTTGCAACCTGCAATCTGCACAGCTCAGCTCCAACTTTGGGAACTTGGAACCTGTCCGGTGGAAGCTGGAAACCACGCAATCCATCGCCAGCCAGGCCCCAACCCTTCACTTTCACCCTAACCTTACGTGTGGCACCACGCAACCCTCCTTTTTGCTTCTTGCCTTCATCTGGCCTTGCTGCCCCCCTCCCTTCTTGCCCTACCTACCTACCTTGACCAGAACTGAGCCTCTCTTTCCCTTAGCTGTTTGTTCCTTTCCCCTCCTACTCCTCTCCTTCCTGAGCTGTTCCAGGTTCCCAAGACACGAACGGGGCACCAAGCAAGCATCCTTCCCCCCTTGTGGGCTGCTCTGTAGAGCTACTAGCTATCTCACCACCACCTCCACCACCACACTAGCAGACGCCTTCCCTTCCAACTAGGCTCACCCACTATCGCCAACCTGACCCAGCCGATCCGCCCGTCCAGCCACCGCCAATCGACCGACCCTCGTCGATCGCCATTTCTGCTGGGAAACTTTCTACACCACCATCCCTTCTCTTCTCGTCCTGCCATCGCGACCGCGCTCCTTCCCTTCTTCCCTTGCCCCGCGACCTCTCTGCCCCGCCAGCAGTCTGTACTTCATCAATTGACCCGTCTCCTCCGAGCCTGACCCCTCGACAACCCGCGCCGCATGCGCCGTCACGCGCCAGCAAGTTAGACACCTTGTCAATTGACTCGCCAGATCCCTACCATCATGTCCACGGCCGCCGAGAAGAACGAGCTCAAGGTCCAGGGTGCCGTCGAGGCCGCCCAGGACCCCGAAAGCACCATCAGCGCCGATGACGCGCAAAAGAAGATTCTCGAGGAGTCGAAAAAGGCCGGCGTCACTGCCTTCACTTTCGACCCGGATGCGAGCCCTGAGGAGAAGCGCCGCCAGGCGCGAGAGGTATGTTGTCCTTGACGACCCCCCCGAGTCGTGCTTGGCCTCGTCCGTGGCCCAGGCGCTACGATGAAATCGGGCTCTGAGCTGACCGTCCTCCGCCAGGCCGTCCCCGAGGGCTTCCACAGCAAACGACCCCACGGCGTATCCGTCGTCACCGATGTAGCTGGTGAAGACAGCGGGCCGACTGCTGATCTCCCACCCCCCAGCAAAGAAGGCATCATCGAAGTCACCAAAGATGCCGACGGCAACGTCATCGAGGACGGCGCAGGCCCTGGTGGTGATACCGAGAAGCCATACGAGCGCACAGGATGGGCGCCCCAGTTCGGTTGGCCCAACGACAATGCTCAAGATGCCGAGAGTCTCCTGGACCACTCGACCTGGCTCGAAGGCAAGGTCCCCGACAAATTCTACGGAGATTGGTACCACAATGCCGCCATCATCGTCTTCGCCTGCATCTCCTCTTGGCTCGTTGCAGTTCTCGGAGGAGGTCTCGGCTGGGTCTTCATGATCATGGCAGCGTGTTCGACCTACTACCGCACTTCGCTTCGTCGCGTTCGTCGCAACTTCCGCGACGACATCAACCGCGAGATGCAGCTGAAGAAACTCGACAACGACCACGAGTCGCTTGAATGGATCAACTCGTTCCTCCTCAAGTTCTGGCCCATTTACCAGCCGGTTCTTGCGCAGACCATCATCAACTCGGTCGATCAGGTCCTGAGCTCGGCGACCCCCGCATTCCTCGACAGCCTGAAGCTCAAGACGTTTACACTCGGCTCCAAGCCGCCTCGCATGGAGCACGTCAAGACGTACCCCAAGGCCGAAGATGACATTGTCATGATGGACTGGAAATTCAGCTTCACACCCAACGATACTGCCGACATGACCTCGAAGCAGATCAAGAGCAAGATCAACCCCAAAGTCGTTCTCGAAATCCGAGTCGGCAAGGCCATGATCAGCAAAGGTCTCGATGTTATTGTCGAGGACATGGCCTTCTCGGGCATCATGCGACTGAAGATCAAGCTGCAGATCCCCTTCCCCCACGTGGAGAAGGTCGAGATGTGCTTCCTCGAGAGGCCCACCATCGACTACGTCTGCAAGCCTCTTGGCGGTGAGACGTTCGGCTTCGATATCAACTTCATTCCCGGCTTGGAGACCTTCATCCTGGAGCAGATTCACGGAAACTTGGCACCGATGATGTACGCACCCAACGTCTTCCCCATTGAGGTTGCGAAGATGCTTGCCGGCACGCCTGTTGACCAAGCGATCGGTGTTTTGGCTGTTACGCTGCACGGTGCTCAAGGACTGAAGAACTCTGATCGCTTCGCCGGCGACATCGATCCGTATGCCGTTCTCAGCCTCAACAGGAGGCAAGAGCTGGCGCGTACAAAGCACATCAGTGACACCTCGAACCCTCGCTGGAACGAAACTCACTACATTATCATCACATCCTTCACCGACTCTCTGGACATTCAGGTTTTCGATTACAACGATTTCAGAAAGCACAAGGAGCTTGGTGTAGCATCGTTCCCTCTGGACCAAGTGGAGGAGCTCAATGTGCACGAGAACGAGCGACTCGACATCTTTGCTGACGGCAAGAACCGTGGCCAGGTCTCCATTGACGTTCGCTTCTTCCCGGTTTTGGAATCGACCAAGCTGGAGGATGGCTCTGAGGAGCCTCCCCCAGAATCGAACACTGGTATCCTGCGATTCACCGTCGAGCAGGCCAAGGACCTCGATGGCACCAAGAGCCTGGTTGGTCTCCTGAACCCCTATGCCACCCTCCACCTGAACGGCCGCGACGTGCACAACACCAAGAAACTCAAGCGAACGAACAATCCGATTTGGGACAACGGGTCCAAGGAGATGCTTATTACCGACAAGAAGCACGCGAAGCTCGGCGTTACTATCAAGGACGACCGCGACATCACTGGCGATCAGGTTATTGGCAAATATCAGATCAAGCTCGAGGACATTCTGGAGTGCAAGGAGAAGGGCCAGGAGTGGTTCCACCTGGCTGGAGCCTCGACAGGCCGTGTCAAGATGATGGCACAGTGGAAGCCTGTCGCTATTTCTGGCGTGCTCTCTGGTACAGGCGGCTATGTGACTCCTATCGGCGTCATGCGTTTCTACTTTAGGGGCGCCCGCGACCTGCGTAACTTTGAGACTCTTGGCAAGTCTGACCCTTACGTCCGTGTCCTGTTGTCAGGCATTGAAAAGGCCCGTACCGTCACTCACAGGAACACGCTCGATCCTGACTGGGACGAGGTTCTCTACGTGCCGGTGCACTCTAACCGAGAGAAACTGACCATGGAGGTCATGGACTCGGAGAAGATGGGCAAGGACCGTAGTCTGGGCCAGATTGAGGTTGCGGCAGGCGATTACATCTTCCAAGACGAGCACGGTGAATACCTTGTTCATGACCAGAAGACGATCAAGGAGGCTGGGCTTAAACTCCATGGCAAGGGCATTGCGAAGGGTGTCCTCATCTACAACGTCTCCTTCTATCCCACCCTCAACGTTGCCGACCCCGAGGAAGAGGAGGAAGAGGCAAAGGAGACGAAGCCAGAGACCGAAGCCGGCGAAACGGAGCCCCTTGCGCGGTCTGCAACTGCTGGCAAGTTCAGCTCCACATTGGACAACAAGTCGCAGAAGGCGTCGGAAGGAGACGACAGCTCAGCCCTTGTTCCGTTGACGCCTACCTCTACAAGAAAGTCAAAGGAGTCAAAAGGACCGCCAAAAATTCATCTGTCTCCTGAGCAGCTGCTCAAATATGAGACTGGCCTGCTCATCTTCAAGCTGATGGAAGCCGAGATGCCAGAGAGCAACACTCATCTGGAGGTGTGGGTTGATGACATGGCGTTCCCCTCGTACATTTCGTCCGCTGCCAAGCACAAGAAGCACAAGTTTGACGAGATTGGTGACTGCTTCATCCGCGAGATCGATTTTTCACGTCTGACTCTCAAAGTCCGCGAGAAGGGCCAGGCCGTCGAAGGAAACGAGAAGGACAAGGAGAGCACCATTGCCAAGTTGCAAGGCAACACTCTGGACACTCTGAAGCAGTGCCTGGTGAGTTTTTGCCCCCAGAATGCTGCCGTTGTGGTTCGTCCATTACTAACATGCTGCAGAACAACCCGACCATGCTGAAGCTGAATGACAAGGATGGCCGTCCCAGCAACGTCAAGGTCAGCCTGAAGTACATCCCGGTCAAGATGAAGCTTGATCCTAGCGAGAGTATCAACAACATGGGTACCCTGCGCGTTGACGTTCTTGACGCCGAAGATCTTCCATCGGCCGACCGCAACGGCAAAAGTGACCCATACTGCAAGTTCGAGCTCAACGGAGAGGAGGTATACAAGACGAAGGTGCAGAAGAAGACTCTGCACCCTGTATGGAACGAATTCTTCGAGGTCCCCGTGCCGTCGCGTACAGGCGCCGACTTCAAAGTCGTCATCTGGGACTACGACTTTGCTGACAAGCCGGATCTCCTCGGCTCTGCTGATATCAATCTTGAGCACATCGATCCTTTCAAGCCGAGCGAGACAAGACTCCTCCTGGATGGCAAGTCAGGCGTCGTGCGCCTGAGGTTGCTTTTCCGCCCCGCGTACGTCGCACGCACTCGGCAGGGCACATCCACTTTCTCTGGAACCTTTGCTGTGCCTGGACGCATCGTCACCGGCGTTGCTGGGGCACCCGTCAAAGCAGCCGGAGCTGTCGGGTCCGGTGTGGGGGGCTTGGTGCGCAACGTCTTCTCAAGAAGCAAGAAGGACGACGAAGACAGGAACACGGCCACAGCCTACGACACTCCGACCATTACAGAGAACGGGAACGGCTTGAAGCGTTCTGGCCCCGTCCCTGATGGCAATGAGTCCCCGATCAGCACTCCTCCTGGTACTGCCAATGGCGCTACTCTCGGACATAGCAGAAACAGAAGCTCTGGTGCGGCATCTATTTATAGCACAAACGGAGCGTCGCCCGGGTCTGGCACGGCTGTGTTCAGCATCGTCTCCACGTCCGGTTACCCTCCCGCGTCGGAGGTCTACGTCGTCATCCACCAGCTCACGCCGAAGCATAAGACGGTCGGTAAGACGGAGAAGCACAAGGAGCCGAGCGGCGAAATTCAGTTCAATGAGTCTTTCAAGTGGACCTGCACGCCCGACACCCAGTTCAAGATCGAGGTCAAGGGCGACAGGACGTTCCGAAGCGACGACGACCTTGGCGACGTGCCCTATGTCGTCGACGACTCTGGCAGCGGTGCCGAGAGGGTCCTCAAGGCCGGCGGCGGCACCGTCACTGTCAAGAGCACATTTACCCCGACGCCGCAGGAGCCGGACAGCCCGCGATCGACCATGCGGAGGAGCTTCCTGAGCAAGAGGGAGAGCAGGAGCCGTGAGGGTACCCCCGCGTAAGATGAAAGCGAGTTTTATCAAATGGATGGTTTATTTTCTTTTCTTTTTGCTGCTCTTAAGGTCCCCCCTCGAGTCCCCTCGGGCTTCCAGGGTTCGATCATCCTCGCGAGTAATTCCCATGTTGTCTCTTCACTTCTCGACACGGATACCTTTTTTTTATAACCCCCGTTGGCGCTGCAGACCAGATGTCAATTGATGATCTCTCCTTTTTTTTTCTGACTAGTCTTTATTCCACCTCGTTGTGTCTTCAATGACATGTGAACCTTGAGCTTGTGTTTTGCCACTGGGTGGGCTGGATTTACTTTGCGAGAAAGAAAATGGGATGGGGAAGAAGGCTGATCAGGGTGATGATTCGGAGGTCCACTGGCCAGGATGGGAACAGGCGCGAAGTCTGGCCGGGCTTGAATCATGGAGAGAATTCAATCAAAATATCTTTTTCATATTTCGTGCCGTTGCAGTACCGTGATCCAGTTCATCCACGGTCGAGAATATATACATACACCCCTATACGAGGCTATCCATGTGCGCACCGTTATGTGCGAGGAAGCCACGTCATCATGTGTTTCTCAAGTGGTGCACGTTGGACTCGAGGCCATACACGGCATGGACAGCGCATTCATCCCTTTAGTGCCCAAATTTGGCCTCAGTATATACATTGATCACCGCCTGCTTAGAGAGCTTTTAGGTGGATCTCAGTAGGTACAAGCTCTGTAGATAGTTGAGAGCGCGAATGCGCACATAGTATACAGGTACCGCACAGGCATCTAGTTGTGCCGCCTACTATATCCTTTAATTCAATTGGTGACATGTATTTTCTGCCACTCGGCTGTCGACGAAGTACTGAGGCCAAATTTGGGCGCCAAAGGGGTAGACCGTAACTTCATTAAGCGCGACAGCAGCGGCAGCTTACACTCGCATGCCGCCTGGCGCTGATACTTCTAAACAAAGTGGACCGACCGAAGAAGCAACGCCAGCGAATCCACCCAAAAGCACATGGCATCCTCCCGCCCCCCTCACAGCGCCATTGTTCTGCGCTGCAGTCTTTCCAGTTCTCCGCCACGATGTCTGTCACACCATCTTGCATCAATTCCCAGACGCAGCAGCAGAAGCTGCGGCGGCGGCCGCCGCCGCCTTCAAGAGGGCCGCCTCCTGCATCGTAAAGCCGTTGCCCAGATACGCGAACCTGTTGGCCTTGGCCGCGCTGCCCTCGTTTTCGTACGCGAATTCCCAGTCCTCTCCCCTGAACCGCGCAAGCATGGAGAGGAAGTGCATGCGGCTTCCGGGGTGCAGACCCACGACTGGTGCGGCCGTACCAGCCTCGTCCTGCTTGTACCAGCTGCGGCAGCTGCCAGAGAAGGCGGTACGGGGCATGAACGCCGCCACGTGAGCAGCAAAGTCGTCGACAGCAGCCTGAGAGGGTGCCAGGGAGCGAATGTTCTCCGACTGCGCCTTGTTGATAAGGTTTGCGATGTACGTTGCAATGTGTTCCGACAGGGTGAAAACGTCACCGTGGGCAATTGGGGCATACGGTCCGAGGAATTCTGTATCGGGTGTCAGCAGGGTCGAAATCAGACATCAAGAGTGGTTTAACTGACTGAAGTAATTAGGCAGACCAGCAACAGCAAGAGACATGTATGACTTGGGCGTCTCCGCGGTCCAGATATCTTGCAAGTTGCCGTGCCTGCCGACCAAGGAGAAAGGGGGTCTGAACGAAGAGTCGAAGCCTGTGGCGCATACGATTGCATCCACTTCAATCAGCTCGCCCGTCTCCAGCTCGATACCCTGAGGAACGAATCGCTTAATCGGGATCGTGACCAGCGAGACCTTTGGGTCATGGAATGACTCGAGGTAGCCTGGAGCAGGAGTCATACGGCGACATCCCAGGGGAAAGTCTGGAATCAGCTGCTGGCACAGCTTCTCGTTTCCCCTAAGCATGGCAGTCATGAATTCGCGGACCTTGCCTGCAGCCCATTGCTGCTGGGGGCTGTCTTTCTTCAAAGCAATGGCGAACTTGATGTTCGAGTCCATCTCGAGAGCCTGGGTGAATTGCTCCAGAAAGGCGGGATCAGACTTGAACCGTTCGATCTGGGCGGGAGTAAAGTTATCCTGCTCATCAAGCTCAATCTGGTTGATGATGGGCGCGGCGCGACCCATCTTCATAGTAGCTATCCTAGGGGGGAGAATGGCAGTGGGAGAACGGATGAGGTGGTGGAGCTTCTTGACATCTGGTTCCGTTAGCAGATGCCGCGCCAAGACTGTTTGGCCATAGTCACTCACGAGGCATGATCGCTGGCAGAACCTGGACGCCGGACGCGCCATTGCCGATGACGGCAACAGTCTTGTCCTTGAAGTCGAAGTTTTCGGGCCATGCTGCTGTGTGAACAAGAGTGCCCTTGAAGTCTTTGACACCCGGTACGCTGGGCCACTTCCACTTGCTGGCCGTATTGTTAGTTGCATTCTCCACAGGTGTACGACCGCCAACCTACTTCAGAATGCCGGAGGCATCGATGAGGAAGTTGGCGTAATCGGAGAAGGTGTCCCCCGTCGTTAAGTTCTGAACTTGCAGCTCCCAGACAGCCTTCGGTTCGGACCAGGCGGCTCCCAGGATCTTGTGCGACGTCCTGATCGCCGTACGCATGCCCTCATCGTCGCACAGCTTGCATAGATAGGCCTCAATCTCGCCGGCCGACGCGAAGAAACTGGACCATTCGGGGTTCTTCCTCCAGGAGAACTGATAATTATGAGACGGCACGTCACACTTGCAGCCCGGGTAGCGGTTCTCGAACCAGGTGCCCCCGATGTCCGCGTTCTTCTCGTACACGACATTGTCGAAGGAGGAGGGCGGCAGGGTGTTGCGCAGGGTCCGGATCATGTTGAGGCCGCTGGCTCCGGCGCCGACGGTTACGATGCGGAGATGCTTGGGCGCTCCGAAGGGTGCCTCCCGGACGTTGTACGAAACATGGCCGCTGCGGATGGGTGCGGATCCGGGGGCAGAACCGGCGCCGTGGCTGTTCCCGGTGAGGTCGGTGTGACGGGAGAGGTTGGGAACAGTTTGACGTGTCATGATCGGGGTTGAAGAAGTTGGTCAGTGATGAAGAGGCTGTGGCCCCGAAAAGGAAAGAGAGGTCGAGACGAGGCGGACGATCGTAGAGCGAGGCTCAGCGGAAGGTCGTAAGACGGCAACGGAAGTAGCTGTCCGTCGTTGCTGCCCGAATCCGAGGCGGCACGTTTTCGAAGACACGAAGGAGGGAGGAGCAACTATGTACGAGGAAGGAACAGCGATTCGATATGGGCCAAGGTCGATGAAGTGAAGGTGCTTGAGACAGGTTAGCGGCAGGGACGGTGGACGAGACTTATTATAGCCGTGACGAAGGTTGGGGCCCTTGCCAAGCAACAGGCAGTCGGCCATTCATTCAGTCCATCCAGAACCAAGACGGCCGCTGGACTACTCCCGCTCCTCCCGGCATCCATACATTTGGGGCAAATGGCTAGGACAAGGATTGGATGGTGTGGAGAGTCGCACACTTCTCTCTCCGACGCTTACGGTTCAAAAAAGACTTCTTTTCTTCGGCCGAGGCACCCTGAAGCTAACATGGCTAGTATCAAAGATCCGAATGAGACAAGCGATATGCGAGCATGACGGCGGCGTCATGGAACCCCCCCCTCCCCGGTTCGGTGTCCACTCGAACAGCCGCATCAAACTCGTAAAGAGCACACGAGAGCTCAAAGCCTTGCGTTGCGTCGTTCGGTGGCGAGGCGAACCGCGCCCGCACGGTTCAGCAGGCCAAATTCCTGAGCTACAGGTGCAAGCAAACAAGCGCGCGAGCGAGCAGTGTCGGTCAAGCTACCTCTCACGGCGTTGGAGAGGAGCAGGAATGGATGGGGTCCGCTCCCTTGGCTCAAGCGTCGCAGTACCATGTACTGGTCGACAAGGGCGTGCAGCTTGACAGGTCGCATTTGGCTCGTCTTGGAGAGCTTGCAAGTGGCCGAATGCGAGAAGGCGGCAGAGAGGCAGATTGATGGACAGGCTTGACAAACGAGCAAAAGATGGAGACGTTGTTGAATCGTGTGGGATGCGACCCCACAGCGAACACCATTGTTGGCTGATATACGACGCCCCGGGGTGCAGGAAGAGGGGGCTTCACGCTTCTCGCATGGTGTGTACCTCATGTATGACCGCCGTCGAAGCTGGTGCGTGCTTTGCGCTGTGTGCTGCCTGTCGCATCAAGCGCATGTACCTCGACACGCCGCAGGAAGACGGTAGTCCACTGGTCACTGCAGATTGGTACCTCATTTGGACCAGCCTGGCCATGACCAACCGTATTGCTGGGATGACGATCCGGACCCGATAGAAGAGAAGGAGATTCGACTTGTTAAGAATTGGCGGCAATGCCACGAGGCTAGCTCTTAGTTCCGTTATACTCTGGCCTCAACGACCGCGCGACGCAAGGAGTCGGGAGAAGCTGTCGTTGATCCTGAGTTGCGAGCCTCGGGCGGGCTATGGGGCATGGTGGTCGTAAAGCACCCAACCACAATGAAGGAACTTCGGGCGAGCTAACGTCGACAAGCTTTGCCATGGACCAGGCCAATTGTCGGGAGAGCTCTGGGCAAGGAACTGAGAGCAAAGCCTGCGTGCCTTGCGTCTCCTCCGAAAAGAGCATCCTGGCACAGGGATCAACGGTGGATTCGACAATGTTCCTAGGTACAGCTTTGTCGCAGACAACCGACGTGCAGTCTAAATCATCTGGGTATCACGCACCCGCCGTGGCGCTGGACCGGTCTCTTCGCCAGCGGCAGGGCCACCAACCCGGATCCGAATCCCCGGTACAGGTCATGGTAATAGCGATCATTAATGCCGTTGTTGGCCATTGGCGCCAGCCACCGAGAGCCCATGTAATGTACTTTTGCTCATGTACGCCGCAGTGAACAACAGTATGGCGCCCATCCTTCGCCAATCGACATGCCGGAACGCCAAGCCAGACCTGAAGCCTGCCGTCTGATCCAGAGGAAGACGGAGCTGGAGGGATGGCGTTCGAAGGGCTGAAGGATGATTCAGCCTTTCGCTTCTCGTTGCAAGGCGAATCAGAGACGCTCTTGAGCTTAAGGAGCACATGAAAGTGGCAAAACGTAATCAGGTCGCTGATTCGAAAGCCCGATAGCGACAGCATCAAGATGCAATTTGATCTGGATGGTAGATTCGGCCATGGGTCAGATCATGCAGTTGAGCGGAGGGCAACCTTGCCGACGATCACGGGCAGCAAGCAGTTGGTCCCCCCACATAAAAGACGATGGCGACGAACGCGCTGACATTGCCACCTTTCCTTCGACTATCGACCCTGCGCAGCTGAAGCGCCCTTGATAGACTGCCAACTATCTTTATGGTGTAGCTCGTAAAGAAAAATGCGCGTAAATGAGGCAATGAGCTTGAAGATGATGAAGCTGTTGGCGAGGTTCACTACTTGGGGGCCTGACAGTGGGATCGCAGATCTGGAATCAGGAACTTGACCAGTCAGGGCATGGCGCACAGATCACATCGCCCCACGTGATATTCAATTCTTCGAAACTGCCACTCATGTAAGGTAAGGTACCTTACCTTGGGTAGACACTTGTGTCCCTGCTTATTCCTCGCAACCCTGGAGCACGAAAACACCGGCATGGCTTCCTTCTCCTTCTCCTTCGCGGGAGATGACATTGATGGCGCAGATGAGCATCCCGCCCCGGAGCTCGAGATCGAGGCCTCGCAGCCGGCTACCGCGAGCGCTTTCCCCGTGCCAGGAAAGCCTCAGCTTCCACCGACCAGCCATCGCCTGGCAGACATGCTGGCGCAGCTGCCGTCCAAGATTGCATACAGCCTTTTGAACGTTACTCTCGACGGCGGGGAGGTGGTCGAGATTCCCCGGCGCGAGCTGTGGGATGTGAGGGTTCAGCTCATGGCAGAGGACGACGATGCCGCGGAGGGACCTGAAGGCCTTGGCAGCCACGATGTCAAGACCGGCGTCTATGAGGGTGGTTTCAAGAGCTGGGAGAGCAGCGTCGACCTCGTGAAGGTCTTGGATAGTGAGAAACTATTGTCTCCTGCCCGCCCACGTACGCTGCGTGTCATTGAGGTGCGTAGATCAGCAGACAAAAATAGATCCCTTCACAGCCTCCCGGTCGGTTAATTGACCAAGAGATTAGCTTGGATGCGGCACGGCTCTGCCTTCACTCGCAATATTCAGAAGCGCGGCCGTCACGTCATCTGTCAGCTCGCCACTTTCCATAGCCCTGGCAGACTACAACCCTTCTGTGCTGCAACTCGTGACGCTGCCCAACTTTATCCTCACCTGGGCTCTGGCACGGAAGACCGCCACACCCGTCCTCGAGACCGCGTTTTACGAAGAGGGCGAGCTCGAGTTGACGCCGGAGGTCATTGCCGCCTTCGAGGCCTTCCTAGCATTGTCCAGCATCTCTCTACGCTTCTTGTCCGGAGGGTGGTCACAGGAGCTCGTCGAGCTACTTTACGGCTCGGACGTCGCGAGCCACTCGGCCAGCGGCGAATTTGACAGCTTGCTCATCGGTGCCGAGACGATCTACTCACCGTTTGCGCTCGATGCCTTTAACGAGATGGTCTTGGCTATACTTTCCAGGGAGAAGGCTGAGCGCGCCGGCTGCAAGTGCCAAGCCCTCGTCGGAGCAAAGCGGCTCTACTTTGGAGTTGGAGGCTCACTGGACGACTTCATCGCCAAGGCGCGAGGGAAGGGAGCCGTTGTCACCCAACTGCGCGAGGAGGCCGAGGGCGTTCGACGCGGTGTCGTACGCTGTGTCCTACCTGCGCCCTCTGCCTGAACGGTCGATGACTATCTGACCGATGTATCTGATTCATGACGCCGATGACCGAACCGGAGACACTCCTTTCGACAACGCTCTTGCCACTACGGCTTGGCACCTTGGGGTATTGCCGGCTTATGCGTTCGATGGTGTACAGTACAGGAGGGGGAGGCACAGCCGCGCCACGGGCTAGCGGTGTCCCAGGACGGTGACCGAGATGGAAAAAGCAGCTGCGACGAAACTAAGCGCGGCACAGCAGCACCAGGTGGCAACGAAGCAAAATGAACCGGCGACAAAATTCCTCCGCCGGATCTGGAGGATCTTGATAGCCGATGTAACGATATGGTGCTCTGTTCGATGAAGGACCGTCATTGCCGGGATGGCTCGGCAGTCAGGTCATGCGCAATCGATGTGGGTGGGAGGGCGAGATCGCGCGTCCCTCTCCATCATGTCGAGTCAGGGGGTATAACACAACCTTCGTCAGGTGTCACCTGCTCCCAGGGACGTATGTGATCCTTTGACTCCTGGTTCAAGACGTGGCAGATGTCAATCATTCAACAGCGATTCGTCTGGGTCCAGAAGCTGGCACTGATACGCGACGGTGATGCATGCTGTTTGTCTGTTTTGATCTTGGCCACATTCCGCGGCCTGAGCCGATCCTGAGCAACACTGACACAACTTCGTGGCGCAGCATGCACAACCTAGCCACAGACCGTATGCACAAACTTCGTCAAGCCATCCTTTCACCGTATATCACCTATCAACGGTAGCTTGGATCGCGAAACCACAGCGGAGCTCATCTGTCTGGGCGAGTCTCTGCAGAGACAGAGAAACTCGATCCCGTCGTGTACCTCCAAGATTGCACCCTCTTTTTGCATTGTGAGGACGTCCGCCCAGACCTCCTCCCCATCAATCCTTCCATCGCCAGAGAAGGACAAAAGATGTGTCTTCAGTCCTTCCTGCCGAAGGACTTATCTCGATGGACCCTGGAATCTCAAAGCTGTAAATACACCGCGATACGATATCTATCGAGTGTAACAATATGTCTTTCTCGAAGACAGCAACATCACGCATCTTTCTTGATCTACCAGTAGATTGTCGCACAGAGAAGGCAATGTCAAACGGAGACTACCATGACCCTCAACATGGTTGGGTTGCCGGTTCTCGACAATCCGCCCCGCCTCCATCTGCTGTCAGCAAAGTATTCCATGCAGTGATGGATGAGGGTCCATTTGACGATGCCCAGTCAGAGCTTCAATGGTGGGATCAACTCCCATCTGTCCCAGCAGTAACTAGTCTATTTCTCCGGCAACAGAACCGGCGGAGATGGAATCCGGATTCGCTAGCACATATGTTTGCCCGGTTTCCTCGGCTCCAGGACGTCCACTACGAGCCCTGGAGGGAATGGAACTTCCTACAACGCGAAACAGACAGAGGTGAGTATGACTACATCCCCCCCCCAATCCTATTCAACCATTACTCGCTCTATGTCGTATAGGCCCTCACTAACGAATAATCCTTATGACCTATCTAGCCTATCAGTACCTTTTTGAGTGTATCCAACATTCCAACACACGTCTCTAAAGGTTTATGGTTTTTGAAAACTTCAATCAACAGTACCCATGTTTTATGCAGCGATTCCAAGAAGGAGTCGACTTGACCGAATGCGACACAGTCCGCGACCCCAGTCCAGCTATCAGCCAGGCGGTCGTACTTAATAGCTCTAAGTTTGAGCATCTTGCAGCATCTTTCATTGTAGATGCTAGCTATTACTTCTTCGAGATCCAACCCTCTTGGGAGTGGCCAAACCTGCTGTCGCTGGTTCTCACTTCAAAATTACTCACACCCGACGAGAATCCGACAGATATCAACGCTATACTTCAGGCAGCCGCGTTGGCGGCTATGAAGATGCCTCGCTTGAAGACAATGGAGATTTGGAACGGACGAAAGGGCTTAGCAGCGCTCTTTCGGTATCAGGCGCTCCGCAACGTACAGCAAGCCGTAGTTCTGTGGAGAGGCACATGGGATTTGGCAATGGAACCTCCTCTGATCCAGGCTTGGGAAGCTGTGATGCATCAGTATGATGGACGGAGACTCGATTTAGTCCAGGAGCGGCTGGATGAGACTGCTATCAAGTCTCACGGTGATGCGCTTTCTTGTCTGATGCTTTCAAGCCAGGTCATTCGGCCCATCTCGTTACAGCAGATCCAAATGGAACAGAAAGCTCTAGAGGGCGCAGACACTATATAACATCGATAAAACAAAGTCACTATTGAACCACTTTCGGGGGATTGCCTGCTTTATTTAGGTGGTATAACTTTTACGCAAGGAACGGAACGTCATCCTTTGTACCTTCTAAGCGTGCCCCACACGCTGGGTTCAACGTATCGATACCTGACAGGGTATCGAAACTTTTGCCTGCTACCACGTAGGTGGCGGGGTTGAAGGATTGGGTACTTGCGAAGGACCTCACCTTTCGCCTATTCCTCAACCCAGCGAAAAGTAAATTGCTAGTCACTGTGCCCCTCCTTGATCGGCCTCGGCGACAACTGCCTCGCATTCTTTTTTCGTACCATCCCCCCTCCTCGACTTGCACCATCTCTTTCCTTCGGTATAACCTCACCACCAAGGCACGGTCCTTCTTCAATTCCTGCCATCATGTCGGACCAGAAGATCGCCATCGTCTCCGTCTACGACAAGACCGGTCTGTTGGATCTGGCCAAAGGCCTCAACCAGCAGAATGTTCGCATTCTCGCGTCCGGTGGCACTGCCAAAATGATCCGCGAGTCGGGTTTTCCCGTCGAGTAAGTCATTGACGACACTTGCATCGAACGAGGGACGATTCGGCTATTTCGTTCGATCCCGCTGACCTGCTCTTGAGGGACATCTCCGCCATCACCAAGGCTCCCGAGATGCTCGGTGGCCGCGTCAAGACGCTGCACCCCTCTGTCCACGCCGGAATCCTAGCCCGCAACCTCGAGTCCGACGAGAAGGATCTGGCCGAGCAAAACATCAACAAGGTCGACTATGTCATCTGCAACCTGTACCCATTCAAGGACACCGTTGCCAAGATCAACGTGACCATCCCCGAGGCTGTGGAGGAGATTGACATTGGCGGCGTCACCCTCATTCGCGCCGCCGCCAAGAACCACAGCCGTGTCACGATCCTGAGCGACCCCAACGACTACGCCGGTTTCCTCAAGGAACTTGAGGCTGGTGAGATCACCGAGGCCAGCCGCAATGCCTACGCCCTCAAGGCCTTTGAGCAGACCGCCGACTACGACTCCGCCATCTCCGACTTTTTCCGAAAGCAGTACGCCTCTGAAGGCAAGCAGCACATGACCCTGCGCTACGGTGCCAACCCCCACCAGAAGCCCGCCGCCGCGTTCACCGACGCCGGTGAAATCCCCTTCAAGGTCCTCGGCGGTTCGCCAGGCTACATCAACCTCCTTGATGCGCTCAACGCCTGGCCTCTGGTCAAGGAGCTCAAGGAGGCCCTCGGCAAGCCCGCCGCTGCCAGTTTCAAGCACGTTTCGCCTGCCGGCGCTGCCATTGGTATTCCTCTGACCGAGGACGAGCGCAAGGTGTACTTCGTCAACGACATCGAGGGCATTGAATCCTCGCTTCTGGCTCAGGCCTACGCCAGGGCTCGTGGTGCCGACCGCATGAGCAGCTTCGGTGACATGATCGCCCTGAGTGATACCGTGGATGTGCCCACCGCTAGCATCATCTCGAAGGAGGTGTCCGACGGTGTTATCGCGCCAGGTTACGAGCCCGCGGCCCTGGAGATCCTCAAGAAGAAGAAGGGTGGCAAGTACCTCGTCCTCCAGATCGACGAGAACTGGGTTCCTGACGACGTCGAGACGAGGACTGTGTACGGCATCAAGCTGCAGCAGCACCGCAACGATGCCAAGATCGGTCCCAACATTTTCGGCACCATCATTACTCCCAAGGACTCAGCTCCCCTTTCTGAGGATGCTCTGCGGGACCTCACAGTCGCCACGCTTGCCGTCAAGTACACGCAGAGCAACTCCGTCTGCTACGCCGCCAGGGGCCAGACCATCGGCCTGGGCGCCGGCCAGCAGTCTCGCATCCACTGCACGAGGCTTGCTGGTGACAAGTCAGACAACTGGTGGCTTCGCTTCCACCCGAGGGTGCTGGGCATCAAGTGGAAGAAGGGCACCAAGCGCCCCGACAAGAGCAACGCCATTGATCTGCTCGTCAGCGGCGAGCTGCCCAAGGGCGGCAAGGAGCGCGAGGCCTTCGAAGGTGTCTTCGAGGATGTGCCAGCTGCCTTCACCGAGGCCGAGCGGGAGGAGTGGCTGGGCAAGCTGACCAATGTGGCAGTTTCGAGCGATGCCTTTGTAAGTGAGAAACGAAACCCAGAACCTGGGATGCAAACTTCGAGGCAGACGGTTAACATGAGGCTAGTTCCCCTTCATCGACAATGTCTTCCGCGCCGCGCGGTCAGGCGTCAAGTATATTGCGGCCCCAGGCGGCAGCCAGAACGACAGCGCCGTCTTCGAGACGGCAGAGAGCCTCGGCATCACCTTTGTGGAGCAGTCTCATCGTCTCTTCCACCACTAAGTGGCAGAGAGGGGACAGCCGAGCAGGCGAGAGAGCACGAGGCGTGGCATAATGGCGATAGGTTCCAAGCGTTGATAGAAGTGGGAAATTCGGACAAAATTAGGCGAACGTGCAAACCGACGTGCAAATCGAACTGCCGACGTATGCCAGTTGACGGGAAAGCTCTCCCAGCTCTCTTGTCGTCCCTGGACAGTGGATTAAAAGTATGAAGAATATAGTGAGAGGTGTGATTGTACTGTCGTAGTAAACGCGCCAGTCCCATTCAGGCATACATATTGTCCGTGGCAAACCTGGATCGCAGACACCAATGCGAAGGCTAAAAGGGGAAAGGGGGGGACAGAGTTGGCCTCACATGTGGTTTGATGTGCTGATTGAGATGGGACGTCCTTGGTCGACGCCAAGTTTGACTCGATTTTGAAACGCATCCTGGAATAGACTCAATCAAAAGCCCAGCGACTGGACTGGTGCGACGATCCAAAACTTTCCTGCTTGATTGTTGTGCGTCATTGATCGCTAGCGACATGCCGTGTGCCTTGCCCGCGCCCATTGTTCCGGTTTTGGTCGGATGCTCTGTAATCCTACCTTATTACCTACCTACCCCACGTATAGAGCCACCATGAGGAGAGAGAGGGAGAGAGAGGCGTCATCGGCTTCGTTACCTACGCGCCGGAAAGGCAATCACACAGCGGTGCAACAGTGGAACGACGACGACGAATGGTCAACAGAGGCAAGGCGCGATAGGTCAGATGATCGGTTAGGACCATGGTTGTCTTCCGTGCATTGGTCTACACGGTACATGGCACAAGGCCTGTTCCGGGCAGTGCCTTCCAGGGTGGGAAAGGGGCCCCGCAGAGCAAGGCCCAAGAGGCCTGGAAATGCAGGAACAGGGACTGTTGGGGGCCGGGCAGCGGGCTCCAGTGTACATGGTAGCGCATCTGGGGAGATGAGGTCCTCCCAGGACTGTCTCCACCGACGGCGCCATGGAAGAATTTGACTTTGATGAGGAGCATGCAAACTTGTCCTGGGCGGTGGGCACTGGAACGATTCAGTTGTTTGTTTGCCTCGGGGTACCGTGTACTGGCATCGTATCTCTCGAGGCCTCCACTCGTTTCCGATGCTACGCTTCGTGTGTGTCGTCACTTTTGTTCCTCGACGATGGATGGAATCGATCTGCGCTGGGGGGATGGACCGCGAGTGCATCCGTCTCCCTTGATCCAGATTTTGGCCACCCACTTTTCACGTCGTTGCTGGTCGCGCTCCCGCGCAGTCCGCCGGCGGAGCAGGCGTACAGTAATGGCTGGCTGTCTTGGCTGTGCATGGGCATGTCCAAGCTGCCAGGGTGTGCGGACAAGGCTAGGCTAGGTGACAGAAGGTGGAGTGGAGAGCTCGCAGTCGTAGGTCGGTCCTTGATTGTTGGATCGCTTGGGGGTTCCTGTGCGCGGCGCTGTAGACTGCGTGCGTTCGTGCCAGGTCGCGTGGAGAGTCTCACCATCGACAGAACAACACGAGATGGAATGGAGGGCATGTTGCTGTGAGCAAGTGGATTGGATTGAGGCACAGCCAGATGTTGATTCGTGGCGTAAACAGCGGGAGCCTAGGAGCAACCATTGCTGACCCCCTCTGTCTGCACTTGGGGAAGACGAAAGGGGGGAGGGTGGCAAAAGGTGCTGTACGCATAGTGCATAGGTTCTTCCAGTGCAGGGCACCAGTGTGTGTGCTCGGCAGAATAAGCTTCGTCGTTTTGGCCGTGCTTTCTCACCTATTCAGGCTCATTCGGCTCATTTGGGCTCGACCAGAGTGGCCCAGGCCGCGCAGACTCAGGCACGGTAGGCGCCATCCTGGTGCTAATGACGACCATCTTTGCCACTACTGGCCGGCTCGTCTGCCCTGCCTCAATCCCGGGAAAGCCAGCGCGTGCTGGATAGAACGGAGCTGCCCGGCGCTCTTTTGCCTGCCCTGGTGAACATGTCACCATGTACCCAGTGGGCTGCGCATTGGCCCAAAGCTTGGTTGGATGCTCGGTCTGATTCCTTCATCGAACACCTCGTTGAAAGGGGACTAGCGCAGGGTGTCGGTGTCCACTTGGAGCCAGGCCTCCCCCCTGTTACCATGGCAGGCCACGGCTTCAACCACCGACGAAGAAGTGTCGCGAACCTGGCAGGCATGGCGCGCTGGGGGGCCCTGGCGGCCTACCTCATTTGCAGCATCGCTTGGCCAGCCTGCTTGTCTGTTCATCCCCCATCCCCATCCCGCGCCCCATACTCTCTGTGTGAGTGTAAGCGTGAGTGTGTGTGTGTGTGAAGGCGTGCGTGCGTGTGTTGCGCCGGCTGCTCCTTCCCACCCCTTAAAGGAGCTCCTACCCGCATCGCGCCGCGACTACACCAACCTGTTCCTTCTTTCTCTATTCAGATCTCCAGTTCACCCCAGTCTTTCGCTACCCCGTCTGTCTCCTTCACCACCGTCGTTTCGCATCGTCGACTCTAAACATTTAGACTTTTGTCACCAAGCTTTTGACCGCCAAACCCTTTTCATGTAAGTGCCATCGAGGATCGTTCGCCTCGACAGCCTATCTACCTACCCCCCCTTACCTCGACATCATCAACAACAACAAAAGACATTGCTGTGCTCTCCTTCCTTGTTGGTAGACTTGGTCACCCGCCTCTACCTATCTACGAGCAAACCACTGTTTCTTTCTATTCGAGCTCGAAGCTCTTTCTCTCATTCACACGTTACACGACAACGCGTATCCGTTTCTCTCAAACCAATCCTAACACACTGGACAGCTACCACCAACCGTCAAAATGAAGTACAGCGTTGCCGCCACCCTTGCCGCCCTTGTTGCCTACGTTCAGGCCAAGGCCGAGTTCACCAACACTCAGGCCGACTTTGCCGCCATCAGTGCCGGCAAGGACTTCACCCTGACCTGGTCTGGCGCTGAGGGCCCCGTTACCATTCTCCTCAAGACCGGACCCAGTGACGATCTCACCACTGTCCAGACCATCACCAGTAAGCCGCCCTCCTTCCTGGCGATACATGATGATGATGCTAACCTACCCTCAAGCTGGCCAGTCCGGTGAATCCTTCACCTGGTCCGTCCCCACCACCCTCGTCAGCGGCCAGTACGCCTTCGAGATCAACGACGGCACCGAGCCCAACTACAGCGTCCAGTTCCCCCTCGTTGGTTCTGGCACTGCTTCCGTCAGCTCTGCCCCTGCCAGCACCGCCACCAGCGCTTCAGCTACCGTCTCCGTCACCAGCACCGCCGCCTCGTCTACTAGCACCGCCGCCTCTTCCTCCGCTGCCAGCGAGAGCGAGACGGCGACGTCTTCCGCCGCCGAGAGCTCCGCCACCACTGAGGCCTCTTCCTCCGTCGTGACCAGGACCAGGAGTAAGTGTTTCCTTACCCAACACCGCTGTGACACAGGCCACTAACGATGTGTTTCTCAGCCTCCACCACCGCGTCTGAGTCCGCCACCGGCACTGCCGCCTCTGTTCCCGACAGCAAGGCCGGCCGCCTCGGCTCCCCCGTCGCCCTCATCATGACCCTCGCGGCCATGCTGTACTTCCACTAAGCGTACTTACGTCCCGGCCTCGGTTCACACCGAGTTCACATTACTTGCTCTTCATTAATGTATGATGACCCTTCATGCGGTTTATCATTATTACCTCTCGACTATTTAAGGGAAAGCGTCGAGGGGCTTGGAGTCTCGGGCACAGGGTAAATCGTCAAATACGACGCGGCTTGCGTTGATGTGCGTGGAACTGTCTTGCATCGGTTTTTGTGTCTTAGGGCGGCTCGACGTGTACACACATGTTCTTAGATCGACAGGTCCAAGACAATTGCATCTTTCTGATTCATCTCGGTTGTGTTCAATTGAAGAAGTAAACTGTGAACAATACTACCGCCTCTTGCATCTCGACGCCAGGAAAGGCGGCCCAGCCCTTCAGCCGGACGTGCATGGGTCGTAGATGGCGCGCCTGGCCGCTGTCTCCCATGTCGTGCAACAACACATCCAGACCCATGCAGTCATGACACTGTTTCTGGGGGCAGTGTGCAACCACAACCCCGCGCGTTGTCCTTGGGCAAGCTTTGCGCTACTGCTGACGAGCCCACCCATCCCTTTGGTTTCTGCGGTCGGCGGCAGCACGTGTATGCAAGGTGCAAGGTCTCGGGGAGGGGGGCGGCTGATCATCGCGAATCAGAAAGCATTTTGCTTTTTCGTTCTGGCCAGTCACCTTCTTGGGAAGGCAAGGTAGGGAGGAAGCGCAGAGCATCGTAGAAGCTGATGTTAGGTAGCTGGGCGACTACATGTTACCAATGACCGAACGGACCAACAAGAAAAAAAAAAAAAGCTTCGACATGGTGTGCATAATAAGCCGACTTTCTGTATTCAGCCCTTATTATAGCTCTCAGCCCGCCGTCTTCTCGCGTGCTCTAAAATCGCTGGATTGCAACACATCCTGTCCTATTTTTACAGCCATGTGGCTTTTGCCCGCGCGTCTAATTCTTGCTCCGGAACCTCCGTCGTACCTCTTCTCTCTCTCTCTCTCTCTTTCTTCTCTTTCTTTCAATGTAGCGATGGATGCATGCGTGGTTGAAAAAGAAAACAGAACGCAACGCCACCGCCCGCCACTCGACTCTCTGAACGCCGTGCTATGTAGATATGGCACGTACACGTAGATCGTGACACTCGTCTCGCCCGATCCAATGTTTTCTCCGTACTCAGCCCCCCACCGCCCTCCAAGAGGATTAGAGTTTGCTCTTGAGCGGCGCAGCCTTGCTGTCGTCTGACACGAGGGCGACGACGACGACAATGTCGTCAACCTTGCCGCCACGCCAGTTCTCGTGTGGGTACCACTTTTGCACCTCCTTGGCAAAAGGCCCGTCCAGCTTCCTGTTGACGCTGGCGGCCTTGGCGGCGGCGACGAGCTCGGTGGCCAGGACGCTCTGCAGGGTGACGGCCGACTTGGACGTCGTCTTTTGCTGCTGCTCGGTCAGGGAGGCGAGGTCGTCGATGACGCGGGTGCCGCCGTTCTCCGCTTCGCCCTCGGCGGCCGTGACCCAGGCGCCGGCGCCGGCCATGACGCGGCTCGCGACGCGCAGGATGTCCTGGTTGAAGAGGTTATCCCAGACGCCGTCGCTGGCGAAGATGAGGACGTCGCCGTGGCGGACGCCGTGGCGGGACACGTCAGCGTCGCGGGGGAAGTCGCTGAGTTGGGCGCCGCCGAAGGCGGCCATGCGTGCGGCGACAGAGGGTGGCACGACGGAGAGCTGAAAGGGGGTGTTGAAGGCGTGGGTCTGGGGCTCCGAGGCGGCGTGCACGGCGCCGAGGCGCAGCTGTACGAAGCCAGAGTCGCCAAGGTTCGCAACGTCGATGGAGCCGCTCGGGTCGGCGACGGCGACGCAGGCGGTGCTGCCGCCGGCGCGGATGGAGCGGTCTTCACAGACGGATTGGTAGCCTGTTTGGAGGAGGGAGCGAGCGGAGGGCGGCGTCGAGGGGTCGGCCGGGGACGAGACGGAAGGGTCGTATTCGTAGGCTGCTGAGGCGACGTACTCGCAAAGACCGTGGGAAAAGTCGGCTGGGTCCACGCCCGAGTCGACCCATCCGCCTACGCCGTCTGCAACGCCGAGGGCGACGGAGCCAGTGTCGCCGACGCGGCTGACGAAGAAGGCATCGTGACCGCTGTCTGGGCGGGAGCGCTTGTTGTGCTTTGTCTGTTGGATACGGTTGTAGGGGTTGAAATGGAATACGTGTGTCGAGGGATCGTATCGGCGGTCCTTTCCGATGAAAGAAGCTGCGACGTGGAAGGAGAAAGGCCCCCCTCTCGGTGTTGAGGACATTGATCTGGCAGGTATGGGTCGGCTGAGGTGGGAGGAGGTCGGGCGGCTGCTTCGAGGAAGAGGTTTCGATACAAGGCCAATGGCTGGGTGGAGAGTCTGTTAGCACGTGTAATTTACCAAGGGTACGTTGCCAGATGCGACCTACTAATGCTTATGGACTGGCGTGCTGTGCAAAGTGCCAAGGGTTGACGAGCTGCCGTTAGCGATGCAGCCATTTTTCTGAAAGTGCCGCCAAGGATATCGTGATGTCGGAAGATGTAGAATCCTCGTCACATCTCGCACACGTCGATAATGGGCAGTGCTATGCGAAAGAGATTATGCCCATGGTTGGGTAGATACGGTTCACCTGGTCGTCGATCCAGCAAGGTGGTCCCAATCCCAACACAAAGCTCAGGTCTGCGAGCAGCCGGGGATTCCCCATATTCCCCCATTCGAAAAGAATCGCGATTTGATGTCATCGGGTCGTCTCCCCTGTGCTCCGTCCGAAGTATTGCCGGTCAGTCTCCAGTCTCCATCACGTGCAGGCCGAAAGTGCCCCGTCCTTCCGATTCGTCCCATTATTGCGCAGCCAGAAGGTTGAAAATGCACGCCAGCTGATTGGCCAGGCCCATCTTCGTGCTTGGAATAACCGAGGGACCGAAGGGAAGCCAATTCTTCCTATGATGGCTGCACTTGCTCCGAACGCCACCCTCCACGCACAGGACAGCTAGAAGAGGACTCTCTTGCGGAACCATCGCCAGGCCATTGCTCCCTCTACACCTCTTCCACCCGAGAAGATTCCTCACCTCTCGCACCTGTTCGCGCACTTAATCTTTCCACGGTCCCTCTCGCTGCACGCGATCAATCGCCAATATGGCCGCTCTCCGCTCTTCCTCGACCCGTGTCCTCGGCTCAGCCCTCAGGCCAGCCTTCCGCCCGGCGCTCTTTGCCCGCACCATGGCCACCGTAACCGAGCCTGCCACGACGCCTGAGCCCAAGATGAAGTCGTTCCAGATTTACCGCTGGAACCCCGACCAGCCGACCGAGAAGCCGCGCATGCAGACCTACACCCTCGACCTCAACAAGACCGGACCCATGGTCCTCGACGCGTTGGTCCGCATCAAGAACGAGATTGACCCTACCCTGACCTTCAGGCGGAGTTGCCGTGAGGGCATCTGCGGTAGCTGCGCCATGAACATCAACGGCCAGAATACCCTGGCTTGCTTGTGTATGTACCTTGATATGTGGATGCCGAGGTCGTGCCTCGTCAACGTGCAGAAGAAACTCGCCGCTAACCCCGTGACAGGCCGCATCCCGACCGAGACGTCTGAGATGAAGATCTACCCTCTGCCTCACACCTACGTCGTCAAGGATCTCGTGCCCGACCTGACGCAGTTCTACAAGCAATACAAGTCCATCAAGCCCTACCTCCAGAGGGATACGCCTTCCCCTGATGTACGTGTCTTTTGCCCGCGTCACCAAGCTCCTGACATGCCAGACTAACACCCACCTCAGGGCAAGGAGTACCGCCAGACCAAGGCCGACCGCCGGAAGCTCGACGGCCTCTACGAGTGCATCCTCTGCGCCTGCTGCTCTACGTCGTGCCCCTCGTACTGGTGGAACTCGGAGGAGTACCTCGGCCCCGCCATCCTGCTCCAGTCTTACCGTTGGTTGGCCGACTCGCGTGACGAGAGGAAGGGCGAGCGCAAGATGGCCCTCGACAACTCCATGAGCCTGTACCGATGCCACACCATTCTCAACTGCACCAGGGCGTGCCCCAAGGGTCTCAACCCCGGTCTGGCCATTGCCGAGATCAAGAAGCAGATGTCGTTCTAAACTGTTTCGCCTACCATTCTGGTTGTTGCGCGAAGGAATAGGAGTGCTGTGACAGCCTGTCGTGTCCTTTGGGACACATTGGAAGAAGGAGAAGGGATCGAGACGGTGGGGAAGAGTGGTGTGTTCAGATGGCAGGCGAAACGGCCGCCCAACCTGCTGAGGCGAACACGATGATACCTAGGGCGCAGCGAGTTCGCGCCGGGTAATGTACTGTAACAGGCATGGACGGAGTTCAGACGCTGCAACAAGTTTTCATTAATTATTCTGCGACTCCTTGGTTCCCCCCATGTTGTGAGGCTTCAGGTCCGTGTCTGCATGTCAAGATGGAGGCACGGTTGAGGCTCGGTGCCCGATATTGACAGTCGATCGCTGACACTGACAGTCGATCTTGACAGCTGAAAATGGGCGAGATGGCGGATCCTGTCCAAGCGGTGATGGCCTCGGACCAAATGTCAACACACCAAATCCGGGGAAACGTCCAAGCCCGCAGGGGCAGCGACATGTGGGACTCTTGGCACGTCAACATGGGATCGTCCAGTACTCGCCAAGCAAACACATCAACAACATGCAATGGGCTCTGCATCACGATTCTTAAGCAGAACTAAGTTTCATTCGGTCTACACCGTCCGCAATATCGCCCAGACGGTCAACGCCTCCTTTACGCCCCGTCTTCCGCTCGACGACCTCGTCCATGAAATCTATCACGTCGCACATGTTCGTCATCGCGTTCAGTTGCACCCGCTCCCCTTTGTTCAACAGGGCATTCTTATCAGGCCCCATGCCGGGCCCGCACATCTCGCCGAGGTGGTGCAGCACCAGCTTGAGGTGCAGTGGAGCGCGCGCGAGATGACGGAGGAAGGCCTCGACGGCCTCCCAAGGGCAGGACTCGTGGCCGGCGTAGAGCGCAGGGTTGGCGAGGATACCGCGGGCGGACATGAGGCCTGCGAGCTTTGTGGTGCTTGGGCGGAAGCGGGGGAGGGCCGGCTCCGACTCTCCATTCGTTGTGATGGTCGGCTGAGGGGCGAGGAGAGGCGACAGCGGAAGGGAGGAGAGGGAGAAGACATCGCCGGAGAGGAGCACGGGGAGCCGGGTGCCGTACTTCTCGATGAGTATGGCGAGGGAGTCGCCGAAAATGGGGGTACTAGAGGGCGTGCTTCGGGTTCGGGGATGGATAGTGAGCCAGTCGACGTGGCGGTTGTGCTGGTCGCCTATGACCGTTTCGATAAAGTCCATTGTTTTTCTGCAATTTACGGTCAGCCAGTCTTCGTTTGCTCTGGAGCATTGTGCCACCAAAGTTGTTCATCATACCGCAGGTCCTTGTGTACTCGAATTTTGACGCTCACGCTGCGGCCCTGGGGGTTCTCAATGTCCTTCTCCTTGGCCACACCCCATCCGTCCCTTTCTAAGGCTTGGCGAGTCTCGATGACCATATCCCTCACCAGTTCACGCTTCTCCATGAGCGCGGCTCCCAAAGTCTCGGCGCAGGCCCATGACTGAGGGCAGCCGCAATTGAGGTCGAAGCCGTTGACATAGGGCGCCGCCAGGAGTGATGAGCGCGCGATCTCCTCTGGTTTATTGGCGCCCCATTGCAATACTGTCGGTGGCTGAACTCCGCGAGACGACACGGTGAGATCTTGACAAGTCAGCCACAGGCTTGCATCGCTGGTCAAGTGTGAGAAGTGGCAGTACCGCTATCTCGAGCAAACTGGCTCCTGTTGAACTCTTTCGACAGAATCATCGGCGTGTAACAGATATCGGTTCCATACTCGAAAACGGTTCTTCTGAAAGCAAGCTGCAATCATGAGTGCCATGAAAATTTACAAGAATGTAGAACGTCAGGACTGTACCTTGCTGTATCTGACCATGGGAGCCGACACATTTAGATATCGGTCTTGACTTTTTGCAGCATCAAAAATCTTGATGGGGCTAAAGGGCAGAAAAAGGAATGGTGAGCCTGTCGCTCACGCCTCAAGAAGATTTCATGACGGGCTTCATGCATACTGTATGCTCGGGCAGGTCGCCTCGAGTTCTTCGGAAGCCGGCATTGTAAGCGCGAAACGACTGTTGGTAACGTGCCATGAGATAGATGCATTGACTGCTCTTGAGATTCACATGAGATCAGTCTGCAAGGCAGTTGTGCCCCGCCAATGCAGAGTTAGTTGGGCAGGACGCGCTGGCCGATTACCTAAGATGGCACTCGGCACCTGCCTGGCTAAGGTGTCTGGGTAGGCGGAAGGCACTCAGAGACACTTCCCCATAAGTATTCACGTTCATGTCACTCCTCCCCGCCCCCTTTTCACCCATCTGAAGGTAAGCAACCTTGCCTTATATCAATGGCCGAACTTGAACTCAAATGCGTAATCACTCGTGGATTACGAAATGATCATATAAGAACCTACTCTTTTCTGCTGATGACCAGTTGTCGAAGTACTCTTCCACCGTGATCAGTCGGAGGTTAGCGGGTTTTGTGCCTTTTTTCGGTAAGGTCGCTTCATATATGGGGGGCAAATGCCATGCGACCCCCAGCTGTAGCTCCCAATACTAATCCGTGAAGACTACTGTGCCCGCAAGCTCCCGTCCACGGTGGTCTGACAAAAGAACACCGCAGCCGGCAGACATCAAATGTGACTCGCCTTCCTCGCTGTACAGAAATGGAACTTAAACCCGAGCCTTCTCACTCGGTGACATACCGTATCGACAGGTGTTCTACAGCATGAAGATTCGACAGATCACGACTTGTCACACCTGCAGGGCGCGGAAGTTAGCCGTAAGTATTGTATCCAGACTACGGGGCGATCAGCAGCCTCACAGCAATGCAAGCCTGGCCTGGCGTCGGAAGCTGACGTGATTTTTTGCCAAGTGTGACGGGAAAACCCCTGTCTGTACGCAATGTACCAAGAGCGGCAGAGAGTGTGCGGGATACCAGCATGATCTCATATTTCGACCTCCAACTGTATCAACTCACCATCAAACCCCAATTATCAGTGCCAAAAGGCGTCGCCGCAACCCTCCCGCCGGCAACCCCAAAAACAAGCGTCAGCCATCCCGGCCCTTGAAAGCAGAGCCCGGAGCGAAAGAAAAGGCGGAGGGATCCCGAGCCGCCGAGTTGATCCCTCGACAGCGACCCGAAACGATACATCCACCTCTGACTTGGCCGCTGCTTGACATCATCTCGCTGGTGATCCAGAATTTCAGTCCCATAGAACATCTTTCAAAAACTGGGTGTGCTTCCCACACCTCCAAAAGCTCGCCACATCGAGTATGCGGTGCATGGGTGGAAGCCCTCCCCGAGCTGGCGAGGGATAGACAAGCCGAGCTCTATCTCTCGCCAGCCATCAAGACTTTGGCCGTATCTATAGTTTCACGAGGAAAGAACGGTAGAGCGCCAGTGTCAGACGCGTTGGAAGCCCAGACAATCGCCCTATCGTCTATTCAATCTGGTCTTGGGCAGATGATGGCATCCAACTCGAACTTGCTGGCTGCTGCCACTATGTGTCTGTTTCTTTCAGAGGTAAAAGATTGGTTTTGAGCATGCTCTTCAACCATGGTGTTAACATGCAGCGTAGATGGTCCTACCCACCTCGAATTCAAGTGCTCCGATTCACGCCAGAGGGATAGGCGACTTGTTGCAACTTCATGAGCCCGATTTCTATAGCTCGGGTATCAGTCACCAGCTGTTCGTTGGTTTCAGACCAGTAATGGCAAGGACCTCATCATGTTTCGTCGTTGTGTTCAATACTGATTGTTCCCAGTTTATCCACGTTTTCATGTCTCGGCAAAAATCCTTCCTTGCGGAAACCCAATGGCTTCACGCACCATTCAGTGAATCAGGGGCTGCACCCCTTCAGAATCTCTTTAGCGAAATGATGAATATGCCGGTGACTGTTGGTGTTGTCGAGGGACTCGACACTATGCCTCTGGAACAAGCTCAGTTTGCTGCCCAAAATGCGTTGCACAATTTCGAGACTTGGGTCCGCCAACTGGTCAACCTGAGGGAAGCTCAGGGCGACGGCGGTCAGTACCAGTGTTTTTCCACCGAGCCTCCGTATGACAACCGTACAGCATTGCAATTTTCTAGTATCACTGCTGCCAACTATTTCACCCACATTTGGGCGCTTCATATTGCGTGCGCACAAAACATCCGACAAATCAGACGCATCTTCCCCTGCCTAGTAGGGGACGTGGATCCCGACCTCGAGGCCCTGATATCGAAAGAGGCAGTCGTAGAGCTGGCTATCTTGATACTGAGAAGTATGCAGTTCCTTGCAAGAGCAGAGTTCAAGCTGTTTGGTGCTGCCTCGGCGGTGCTGCCACTCAACCAGGCAGGGGAGGTCTTGAAACGCGAAGGGGCTGACAATGCGGACTTGTGGTATTGGTATCACGAAATGGCCCAACTTGCCGGGACCACAGGATACAACATTATGGCGCGGAACATGCTGGAATACCAACATGGATTATGAAGCATGCGTTTCATTTACTCGTCGTTGGGCGGTACGGTGCCGGACGGGAATATATGGGAGACAGCGAGGGAATTCAGGAGATATCCCTCGTACTGTCATGACGATTCCTCCAAGATCTCAACAGCCAATTATAGCTCCTATGACTGGTAGCTATGGCACAATTCCAACTGGACATAGATAGAATACGCCACCTTACCAAGTACTGGCCCCAGAAGGGCGATGTCAGTGCTTGATTCGGAGCAGAGTGAAGAGGTCTTCCACACGTGCTCCGCAGGCAAGACACAATAGTTTTGGGGTCAGAATACATCGGAATCCTGGCCCTCCGCAGCTTGGAGGGCCCTCCGCAGCCTATATATATAAGTTTCTCATAGCCCTTAGCCCCTGGTCGACCCCCTGCTTGGCGACTCCGCAGGGTCGCCTGGCAGGCGGCTATCTCACAGGCTCCGCGGCATGTTCTTGAGCGCCTTATAGAGACCTGGAAGGCTAAGAGCTACGATCTCAGACGAATCGTTTCGAAGGTTGAACACTATGGCATCTTCATCCTAGGAGGTAGTTTAGTCGGTTTGTTGAGACATCAGCAAATACCTAAGCTGCAACGCTTTGAATCCCTGACACATGTGACAATAGCTTTAGAGAGCGGAAAACTAGGTTCTCTAAGTTGAGATTGATACATCAGTGTGTCGACTTTTGGGCACTCATCGTTTGCTGTATCCTGGAGCAGAGTCAAGGAACCATATTCTGGCCTTGAACGGGGTCGGCGTTGTGGGTCGGCCGCCTCGCCTTCGGCGCTGGTCCTCCGATTCCAAGAGCTCACAACCCACATGCCATCCCCTTGTGACTAGATCGCTGGTAAAATACCTCTGAACACCGGCGGCTACTATGCGAGGTTTGTACGCGTGGGCCATGTTCTCCAACCTGCAAGCAAGCCAGGTAATTTGGCAAGGTTGGGTCGCATGCAAGCCACGAAGGCACCGAATGTGGGTCTCCGAGTGTGGCGGCTCTCCATGGTGGGGGTGGCTGGTGCAATCCCACCGCTTTCCGGATCAAGTTCAACAGGAGCGCTGGTTCGGATGATGGAGCGAATTTTCTCCATTTGCCGAACTTCGACTCACTTACACGATAGCACATCCCAGTCTATCCATCGCGGTCCAATCTCACAATGGCAAGAAAACCAGTCATCGGCCTCCTGGGCGGAGGCCAGCTCGGCCGTATGCTATGCGAGGCGGCTGGCCCCCTTGGCATTGAGATTGCCATTCTCGACGAGGCCAACTGCCCAGCCAAGCAGGCCAACCAGAACGCCAAGCACGTCACGGGCTCGTTCAAGGATCCCGAGAAGATCAGGGAGCTGGCTGTCAAATGCGACGTTCTGACAGTTGAAATTGAGCACATCAATACCGATGTGCTGGAAGAGATCGCTACCAAGGGTGTCACGGTGGCGCCAGGCGTCGTGAAGAAGGTTCCTGTGCACCCATCGTGGGAGACACTTCGCCTCATCCAGGACAAGTACCTGCAGAAGGAGCACTTTGGCAAGGCTGGCATCCCTATCGCGCCCCAGATGGCCATTGAGTCTGGCGCCTCCATGCTGGACTCACTCCGCCAGGCGTACGAGAAGTTTGGCTTCCCCTTCATGCTCAAGGCTCGCAAGGGTTCTTACGACGGCCGCGGCAACTTCAAGGTCAGCGGAGTCCAGGATTTCGAGGAGGCCGTCACGGTCATGGGCAAGCTGCCTCTGTACGCTGAGAAGTGGGTGCCCTTCGAGCTGGAGCTGGCCGTCATGGTTGTGAGGACAGAGGACGATGATGGCCGGCTGAGGGACGTTCATGCGTACCCTGCCGTCGAGACCATCCACGAGGACAGCATTTGCACCAAGGTCTTCTACCCTCCTCGCAACACCCCTGAGACTGTGTCCGAGAAGGCCAAACAGGTGGCTTCCGACGTCATCAGGACACTGAAGGGCAGGGGTGTCTTCGCCGTCGAGATGTTCCTCCTCGCTGATGGTGCGATTTACCCCTGAACCTGATGCTTCCCTAGGTACTCAAGACTGACTCCTCCGCAGGCACCATTACCGTCAACGAGGTTGCTCCCCGCCCTCACAACTCGGGCCACTACACCATCGAGGCCGTCCCGTACATGTCGCAGTACAAGGCCCAGGTGGCGTCCATCCTCGACATTATCCCTCGCTCCATTAAGCTCCAGCCCCGCGTCGCCGGTGCCGTCATGCTCAACATTCTCGGCGGCGCGCAAGAGGACTCACACGATGCGCTCGTCGACCTCACCGAGTCCCTCTACGACGACGACATGGACATCTTCCTTCACCAATACGGCAAGGCCTCCAAGCCCAGCCGCAAGATCGGCCACATCACGGCCACCTCCTACTCCCCGAGCACGAACCTCGAGCAGCTCGCCGCGCCGCTGATCAAGGAGGTCGACCGCATCCGCCAGGGCCGCATCGACGCCGCCACCGCCGCCCTGCGTCCCTCCGATGCGACACCCGCCCAGAACCCCGCCGTCGTCGCACCCGCCACCTCGTCCCGCGATCCGGCGAACCCCCTCGTCGTCGTGACCATGGGCTCCGACTCGGACCTCCCCGTCCTCAGGGCCGCGTTCGAGGTCCTCGAGCGCTTCGGCGTCCCCTACGACTTCACCATCACGTCGGCCCACCGCACGCCCCACCGCATGATCGAGCTCGGCCGGTCGGCGGCGGCCCGCGGCGTGCGCGTCTTCATCGCCGCAGCAGGCGGCGCCGCCCACCTGCCCGGCATGCTGGCGTCCGAAACGACGGTGCCCGTCATTGGCGTGCCCATCAAGGCCACGCACCTCGACGGCCACGACAGCCTGCTCAGCATCGTGCAGATGCCGCGCGGCTGCCCCGTCGCCACGGTCGGCATCAACAACTCGACCAACGCGGCGCTGCTGGCCGTCAAGATCCTGGGCGCCGGCGATGAGGGGTACAGGCAGGCCATGGCGGATTACATGAAGGGCTTGAGCGATGAGGTCGAGGCCAAGGCGGAGAAGCTGCAGTCGATCGGGTGGAAGGCGTATCTGGAGAAGAAGTAGGGCGACGACGATGATGATGATGATGGAACTCGAGCTTGGTGTTGCTTCCTCTCTTTTGTCTTGTGCTCGATAGATACGCAAAGGAAATGCGAGATGTACGCGGTTTAGAACTCACTTGCACTGTCGACTCTCTTCTTATCATTCATCACGCCGAGACCAGTCAGACCCCTCGTGGGTCCTCTCAAGACCTGGATTTACATACGAACGAACCCCCAATACTTACAGCGAAACGACAGCTATCCATGAAACCACAGCTCTCGCGTTGGGCACGAACAAAACCATCTACTGCTCGCCATACGCTTCGGACGGGCACGCGGGCGGCTCAAAGGTCGGATACGGCGCGCAGTCCCTGTAACAGCCACCATACTTGATCCCACACTCATTGACCTTGTCAACGCAGATGGTCCTCTCGCAGTCCTCATCGTCATGGTCACCCTCTTCGTCGTCATCGACCGGCGGCACAGGCCCCGGAGGCCCCGGAGGGCAGGGCGCTTGGTGAAGGTCGGCCAGGGGGTGCAGTCAGCAAAGCACCTTGGGAGAAAAGGTCAGCCACCACTCGTTCCGCATCACGATACACGCCGACGGACGGGGCAGAAACTTACCCGCCGTACCAGATGCCGCACTCGTTCACATAGTCGGCACAGACGGAGCGGGTGCTGCAGTCGTCGCTCTGTGGCGCGGTGGGGGTGGGGGTGTCGTGGTAGATGGGCATCAAGGTGGGCGTGGGCTCGGAGCAGGGAGGCATGGTTGGGCTTTCTTCCGGTTTGCAGACGTTAAAGCATCTTTTCGAGGTGTCAGCGAGGCATGACAATGTAAACGGATGATGGACAAGAGAGGCGTGAGAGGTACTCACCCGCCCCAGGGTTCGTTGCAGTCGTTGATGCCGTCGATGCAGAGGGTTGGGCAGTCGCTCGAGGCGGCTGGGAGCTCTTCGCTGCAGGTGGCCGGGCGTGCGGTGACCAGGCCGGCAGCAAGGCTGAGGAAAGCAAGAAGGCGCATCTTTGGTGTGTGTGTGTGTAAGATACGTAGCGTTGCGCTGAGAGGAGCAACTGATGTCTGAGAGGCAGCAACAATGTTGTGATCGTGAGATTCAAGCTCGTATATATATATATATATACAGCTGCCTAGCAATGGCCGAATACTAACACAAGGGGACTCGGCGACTTATGGGCCCCTCCCGCGTCGTCCCTTCCCCCGCGTACCTTTCCTAGGGGAGAAGGCGAGAAACAGTGGTCTCAGGCCTATCTGCATCGCCATTGCCTGTTGATGGCCCGCCCTATGACGACAGCCACAGTCAGTGAACAATCATCGATACAACCATGTAGCGCCCGCGAACAAATGAAAACGAGCAAAGTTGAGCAATCACCAATGTCCATCGCAACATCATGCAGCTCACTGGACACGCATATGCCCGAACTCGCCTGAGTTGTGGCATCATGGTCGGGGCGGCGGACGAACAGCTGCGGCTGAGGGGAGGGTAAGACTTTCTCGAACAGATCTGAACCTGGCTAGCCACCAATCTAGCCTGTCTTTTTTTCACCTGATTGAGGGGCAGGCATATTGATGGCTTGTTTTTTTTTTACGGGACGGCTGAGTCCTTCTTCTCACGATCGGCCTCCCATTAGCTGGACAGTCTGGACGGTTGAGTAGTTGACGAATCGGTTGCCAAGCCGGGTATGCACCGTTAGAAGGTGGAGGTGACCTGACGAAAGTCTATCCCCCGCCCCCGTGACAAAACGAAAACTCCAGACGATGGTCATAGGCTGGGGCTTCGTATCGGCTCGGACGCACGGGGAGAGATGTGTGTGTGTGTGTGTGTGTGTATGTGTGTGACTCTGTCCCCGGGAGGACAAGACTGTGCAGCTGACAGTCGAGGGGCAGAGAGCACAGAGCCAAGGCAATCCGGGGTCGCGTCGTGCAGCAATGACTGTTTGACCAGAGGAAAGGTACTTAGAGACCAGAGGGAAGATAGATATGGCAAGGGATAGCAAGGCGGTGCCAATTCAATGTTCGTGCATCTTCACCCTAATAAAGTGGCGGGTCTGCCAGGGAGCAGCAGGTTTGAAGGGGTGACATGCGACGGATGGCGCCGAGTTTAACTACCCGTACTACGTACAGTATGTTGCAAGCCGGCGCAGCCGTTGATCTATTATCCTTTTATAAACGAATGAAATAACCCACGACTAACCCCCGTTGACCATTATGAGGATTATCATCGTCATCGCAAAGGAGCAGAAATGACGATGAACATGATGCGAGGGAACGAAGCAAGATGGGGATGATGCAGGGGACAGAGGTGGATGGATGCATGGCTATTAATGGGACACAGACTCCCTCCTGTCAGACGCATACGCGCATGCCTACTATGTACTATGTAGTCCCTGTGGCCCCCCATAAGCCTCGACAGGTACAGCCCCCGAAGGCCTCTAAAAGGCCCCCGAAGGCCTCGAAAGGACGCCCCTTTGTGGGGGATCGGCGTGACTTTGCCCTTCGATCCTTGGTCCTTGGCCAAGCAAACAAAGAAACACCTTGGGAATTAGACCTCAAGTCTCTTACTGTACCGAATTTCCTGTGCCGAATCCTTCGTGTTTGCCCATCAATCCACAAGTCTTCCCATGCCATGCTCCAAGGCCATCCTTCTGCATCCTTCACCCACCCATGGCCGCATGGAAAGCGTAATCTAGAGGTAAACTTAATGTCATCAGACTTTGGCGCCCAGACAGTGATCGCCGCCCACGCGCCAGGATACACCCGCAAACGTGGTCCCGACGACGATCGTCATCCAAACTATCCCCGAGATGCCGGCAAGGCGACCTCGAGATGCCGGCAAGGCGCAGCGCAGGGGCGCCATCCTGTTCCCCCGGTCGCGTACCTCGAGTCATCTCGAGGCGGCCCCTGCTGCTGTTCGATGCTGCCTGCTGTGACAGCCCAAATCGGGCTGATGATGTAGGACAAGAGAGGGCCGAGATCCTGAGCCTGTCAGACTGAACGTCACTGGCGGTCATGCCCATCCAACTCTAGCATGGAAAAGGGGGTTAAGCTCGATTTCGAGCCCAAGGCCACAAATTGTGAATCCAAGACATCTTGAGACACATCAGACTAGCCACGCCCTCTACCCTCTGCCCTCTGCCCTCATATATCGTATCCCTCCATCTCACCGTGGTACACGCCTCTCTGCCATCCCACTTGCCCGACATCGATACTCGGCCATATCCCTATCGACTGCGCGCCCACGTCTCTCCTTGACCCTTTCCCTCGAGCAACCCGTCAACACAAACCGCCGCAATGAAGTGGACGTCAGCCATCCCCCTCGCCCTCCTCTCTGCCTTGTCCACAGTCTCCCCGCTCCCCCAAGAAGAGCCAGAGAGCTACGAGACACAGTCCGACCCGACCATCTACAACCTCAAGATTGATGCGTGAGCACACTACACTCCTCCTTCTTTCCAAGAACACTGTCTCTGACCACCAACAAAAAAAGGCCCTCCGTCCCAGACCTCCACAACAAGCTCCTCTCCAAGTCCACCGACCAAGTCGGCCTCTTCCCCAACGCCCCCGCCCTCGAGTTCTACCTGACGACCAGGCCCCAGGAGGCCACGACCCTCGCGACATATCCCATCGGCATCGTCCACGAGGCCCTCGTCCTCACCGGCACCAACAGCCTCTACGACCTCAAGACGACGCAGCCCGACCTCATCGAGGTGACGCCCGGCACGACCTTTTCGGTCAACGAGTTCACGCTCGACGAGCCATCCGGCCAGGTCTCGTGGAGGGGCGCCAAGGAGTCTGCGTGGGTTGCGTTTCCCAGCTCTGCGGATCCGAAGGGATTCGAGATCAAGTGGAAGGACCGTATGTTTTTTTTTCCCAGCTATGCTTGCCGTGGAGCGTCTGGAGGTCATTACTAATGAGAAGCAGCGGACGCGATTACCATTCAGAACTTCTTCCCTGTGAGGATTGTCTACCAAAAGGTGGAGCAGTGAAGTGCTGTCTGCAACAGATATTTTAAGGGGGGTTTAGGAGCTGGGGGGAGGTTATTTATATTACTTTATTAATTAATTATAGCTAATCGTTAGCTCGGAATTTATTAAGAGATTCCTCGAAAGACTTATATATATAAGAGACGAGCATAGGTATATAGATACCCTAGATGATTCT